TTCTATCTGGCACTAAATCATACAGAGTCTCTTAATCATCCTGACCACTTAATCATGCTGTACTAAACCATTCAGCAACTGCCAAACAGCCCCTATGTCTTTTTTCTTTTTTAAAGACAAAAGTAAGGTAGGGACGAACCTATAGTGGTGCATACGACAAAAGTAAGGCGGGGACGAACCTACAGTGGTGCATACGACGACGACTATCATTATATTATTCCTCTGTTGAAGGGTAAAAAAGTTTAGGTTTTTGAAATATGCAACCGTATTAATTTGTTGTGCGTCATTGTATGTATTTTGAAACTACAATGAGAACACGTTTTATTTGGTAGAGTTGTTTTGCAAGGCTTTTATTCCACACCAGATCCAAGTTTAGATTTTGTTAGTGTCATTTTCTTAGTCAAAAAGTACCACTGTTTGGGGAAAAAAATTATGTATATTTGTTTCTTATAGTCAAATGGTGTCATCTTTTGAAAAAAAAATTGGGTCCATTCCTGAAGTAAGGTATGTACATCTTAACCTCAGATATCGGGTGGGATATATAGGTTTGTTTAGTTTGGTTTGGTTTGGTTTATTATTGTACTGAAATTGAACACATGATGAAGAAACTGTCATTTTAGGCCGTATTAGTTTGGGAAGCAAATTGGAACAAAATACAAGTTTAGAGAGAAAACACCAAGAAGTTACTGAGAGATTGAAGGAGCGCAGTTGTGTTAAAAAACTTCTATAAAATGAATTCAAGGCAAGGATTTATCTCAATCCTGTGTTTTAATTGATAAGCAATAGTTAGTGTATTACGAAAGTGTTTAATATGAAAATGACATGGAATTAAATGCTTTAAAGCCATCAATTTGTCAATAAATTGAGTTTCAAAGTTTGTGACTCATCCATGAAGTCAAATTTTACGAATTGATGCATGACATGTTTTCTTATTAGATGTTTTACCGTAGTATAACATGTTAGGGGCTGTTTGTTTCCCTCTTAATGGTGACATTAAGAGGGAGCCTCTTAATCGGTCAGAGGTTAGGACCGTTTGGCAAAAAACAAAAAGTCTCTTAACGGTTACATATGGCTCTTAACCATTTTGCATCCAATGGTTCACTCAACCATTCAGACTTCTATTTTTTCCAAGATTACCCTTCCCACCCCTTTTTCTCAACCCTCTCTTCACGCACGTCGCTCCGTCTCCGGTAGCCGGTAGCCTCCACCATCTCCGTCCCCGTCTCCGGTAGCCTCCACCATCTCCGTCCCCGTCTCCGGTAGTGACCGTCTCCATCGCCGGCAACCTCCCACAACTTCGATTGTCGCCTGTTGTCGCTCGACCGTCTCCATCGCTTGTTGAGACTCTCGCCTGTTGTTGTCGCTCGACCGTCTCCATCGCCGGCGACCTCCACCGTCTCCATCGCCTGTGAGACTCTCGC